TTAAGCAGAGAACAATAAAAAGGTGAAAATTATTATAAATAATACTCTTAGAGAGTATGGATTTTGAAAACAGGTTGCACCATTTCCTGGTACATCGTCGAGAATATTTTGAAAATTATTATACAGCGTGTTTGTTTTATTTGTGTACACTCGAATATTTCCGTAATTATTGAAAATACGAAAATATATTTCAGATAAGAGTTGTTCGGTATAATGAAGGATATTTATTAAGTTGCTTCGATTGTTTTTTATATTGTTATTTAAGGAGATTTAAAGTCAGAGATTTAAAATCAAAACAAGTCAGATTTATTTCTGTACTGTCAAAGAGAATACGATCCGATTCGCCGGTCAGTCTACCCTCTATATTATAAAGGTACTTCATAATATCTACGCAAGTAAAAAGCAGATAATAATTCTAATTACAGTAGCGAAAAAATTGTAGTAGATTTGAGAATTAGAGAGATTAGAAAATTAGAGCGCCAGTTTATTGAGAATAAAATCAGATGAAATCGGACAAGTTTCACTTCTGTTTCGTTAAGTAAATTCGGACGGATAAAATACCTTCGGAACTTAATCTAATTCTACTTCAGATGGTCGATCTGGATAATAATGCTGAAGGATTTGAATTTTTAACACATCCAATCAAGCTTAAACAGAAGGTTGACTGTACGCATCTATGTATGTAATAGCGAAGTGCGCAACTTGCTTCTCTGAAATAGAGTACTGGATCTCTAACAATTCGTTACGATGTTTCTTTTAATAACAATATTTATATCTATAACAGAAATATTTAAAACTATCCTGATATATTCGTTCAATTACAAAATACATAATCTTCAAGGAAAATTTTGTACAACAACTTCATTCAATTCAACATTAGAAAATAAGTTTTTACATTTAAAGTGATTGTTGAAGTTTTACATAATAAGTGATAACTTCTGCAAGCAAAATATAACACATCAACGCAATGCAATAAATATGTAGTTTCTGAAATAATAATTTTAAAGAGTTGCCTATCATTATGAAACTAGGTAAAAATTTCAAAATGTTTTCAGAATAAATTCAAAATGTACAAAATGTGTATTTAATCTTTAATTTCTCGTGCCGTTCTAATTTCAGATACATTACATCATATTTTATTTTGAGCAAGATCTTTAATATAAAAAAAAGTGATAGAATTGACGTGAAATAACCCTTCAGTATTATTCAGAATTCAATAAACAATATCTCAATTGCTTAAATATATGCTCCGTGCGCATTTGTTGCCATCAAGTTACATTAAACACTAGTAGTAGAATGAAGTACAATAGAAAAAACTCTATTTCTACTAAGACGAATCGTGTATTATCGATAAGGTCGAGCACGACACTGAAAAGTAGGTGCACAGGGTTTACGAAGTAAGTAATAAGCATATCTCGTCTGCATCTGTAGTAAGTGTGTCGGTATTTCAGAACCACGAACGAAAAATTACATTGCATAGGACATCTCTACACACTTCAAGTCTATGGTTCATGAACTGTTATCAGTCGCATAAGTTTCTTCTAGATACCGACAGATGACACTACGAATTCAGTGTGAGGTTGGAAATCTTTTGACACGCCATTTTGAAGTGCACTGTCATCATTGCACGGTACAACGTAAATTAACTGTCTATCGAGGTTTAGTATATTTATCAAAACAGAACGCGTATACTTAAAAAATTGAACATGTCCGGTGGAGCGCTGTTTGGAAATAATGCATCTCGCGGTAATTCTAAAAATTTAGTCGAATTTAAAGCTGGAAAAATGACTATGAAAGGAAAAATGGTTTATCCAGATGCTCGGAAAGGTCTACTTTACGTTTATCAATCTGACGATTCATTAATGCATTTTTGTTGGAAGGATCGTACAACAGGTTTTGTTGAAGATGTAAGCACATTTTATCGTCATCAATTTTTATTAGAATATGGAAATTATTTAAAATTCTATTATTCGTTAAACTTACATATATTTTCCACATTTATAATTCTTATATATATTTATTCTTCCTATATAGGACCTAATTCTTTTTCCTGACGATTGTGAATTTAAACATGTTCCTCAATGCAAAACTGGAAGAGTATACCTTCTACGATTTAAGTCTAACAAGAAATTTTTCTTTTGGCTACAGGTAAGATGAATTTTATTATTTTATTAGCTACTAACATCATTTAAAGTAATAATAAAGGTTCAATAATTTGCAATAATTATGGAAGCAATGTTAACTTCACATTATTAAAATGTATTTTTTATCTTCTTTGATTTTTAAAATGTTAATATTGTACAATAATACTTTTGTATTATATAAAATAAATATTTTTTATTAATATTTTATTAATATACTTTATTAATATCTTTTCATGTTTATCTATGAAAAAAAATTAATAATAACACATACATGTAATAGATGTGCTTGGTTTTTGCGAGTAACATTTGATATTACTATTTATTTTTAATATTTCAAAGAATATCTATGATTAGGACAAGTGCCTTTAAATTTTAAACATAACTCTAAGCATTAAACATATTGTTACTTACTTTTATTAAAATGTGAAGAAATTCTGAATTTTTAATAACCAAGATGAATTTGTCAAGGAACATCAACATAATGATCAGGTTAAAATTTTTATGGAAATATATATTTATTGTGTGAAATTTTATTCTTCTTCTTATCTTATCCAATGAGTCAGTATATATTAAAAGAAGAAAAAGAGTTTATATAAATTATTTCATTTTGCTTTTATCCTACCTATTTTTATATAATATCAGTCATTCACCCACATACACAGTATTTCTTGAAATAGCTATCTTAGATTTAAATTCAAACTTCTAGATAAAAATTACCAAGTTTTACCCAATTTTCAATAGAATGGTGCTAGATCAATTAAAATGTAATATGTCACAGAACTATACTAGGTAATTCTATATGTATTAATGGTTGAAATTAATGGCTAAACTGATTTGGAAACATTATAAGACAGTGTTTATAAATAAACAGCAGATCTTTATGCAAAATAAAAATTTCCCAAAATAATACAAAAACATAAAGGTTATATAGAAACTAATTTCTTTTCTTCAAAGTCTTAACAAGTTAAAAATAAAGTAATATCTTTCTTAAATCTGCAGAACATTTGTCTACTTTGTATTCTATGTATTTTTATTTATCATAAATACATATCTGTTTATAAATGATTAAATGATGTGGTTAATTAATCAGAAGAATTATTGAAAGACAACAGTAGTTCTAACTTCGTAACAAGATTAGATAGGACAAATGTTTATTTGAATTTTTTTAAATGATATTAATGCTAAATCCTTTTTATGTTTACTCAGTGTATCGTACAAGCAGTATTAAGGGACAGAGTGCTTGTATTTAGAAACCAATATCGTTAAATTTGTAAATTTATTTATTAAGAAATGTAGATAATAGAATGCTTTCTCCTATGATGTATTTGTTTGTAAACATATTCATTGACTTTACTAAACTCGGAATATATGTAAATACATAATAATATAATTTCATAGTTACATAACAATAATGAGTATGATAAAATATTTTATTAATAAAAATATTATGATAATTTACTTACAATATGTACTACCTTTACTTCAAGTTAGGTGAAATGTTTAAATTTGTAATAATTTAACAAAACTAATCATTGTAATTTTAATTAATAATTTTTGTAATTATGTTCTTTTCGTAATATTGCATTCCTTTTCAGAGTCTTAAAACAGACAAAGATGAAGAATATTGTAGAAAAATTAACGAAGTTCTTAATAATCCACCAACTCCTGGATCACAAAGAAGTGGCAATACAAACCTAGAAGGAGAACTCCAAAATTTATTAAATAACATGTCACAACAACAATTAATGCAGGTCTTTAGTGGTGTAAGTCACATTAGTGGTATAGGTAATTTATTGGGTACAATGAATATACCACAGGGTGTGCAGAGTACTAGAGCTTCAACTACAACTGCATCAACACAAGTTACAACAAATACTCCAAGACCTGCGACTCAAATATCTTCGCCATCATCGACTAATGAAACACCTAAACCTAATGGTGAGTAAATTTGCCATATGAATGAGATATGTTGTTACATAGAAATTTTGATCTAGGTGACAATAAACAATCAACAAAAACACCTGCCTCCTCGACACCAGGGACAACTACAAGTTCTAACAACAAAATACAACTTAGTGATCTACAAAACTTTCTATCGGATATTCCACCACCTGTGGGTGCAGAAATTGTTGTTCAGGTAATATCTTATATTCTACAAATATTTGTGTTTAGTATTCGTTATTCCTGGATTTTCAGCCAAACGATAACTTTATTAGTACATTACTCACAAATTATTACCTTTATTTTTGTATAATTAATTATTTTAGAAAAAATATCTCATACATTTTTTATTTATGCTTGACTTATTAGCTGAAATTTTAAACAAAAATAACAAAACGAATAGATCGAATAAGTTGTCAGTAATGACTTGTTAGTAATAGAGTTAGTTATATATTTTTCACTAAGTTTATGTAAACAATACACAAAAGTTTGTAATCTCATATGAATCTTGGTCTGTATTATCTAATGATTGTGGTTCTCACAGAATTTCTTGTTTCATATACAAATCCAGAAACAGAAATGTTTTATCGCTCTCAGATTTTGAAAAACATAAATTGTTTGTAAAAACACTATTTAGCGAAAATGAAGCATTACCTGAATACAAAAGGTGTTAGAAATTTCTGTGTAATCTGAAAGAATTGAGAAGAATTTGGAAAATGTATCAGTATATGTAGATATTATATTTTATGATTCTGAATTCTTGTAAATGGACATCAAAATTTAAAAAAGAAATTAATGTGAGTACTTTCTAAGCATTATTTTTACATTTTTGTTGAACCTACATGATATTGACACGTATAGTAACATTTAATAATTACTTCATAAAATATAATATTTCATACGGAATTGAATCTATCAAAACAATGTTTTCTTAAATATCGTTTGATATCAGGGGGCACATTATGCAGTACAAACTATTTTTTTACAAATCGAGTAGTGGGCGGAATTCCAAAATAAAAGTCATTTATTTTTTACTAAAATCATGTATATTTTTATTTTAATATGATGGTAATTGTTCAGATGAATTCAACGATCTGCTATGTGCAATCATTTATTATTGTAAAATAGTAGAAAAATGTTAACATATAAGTATTTATTTAAAAAAATGTGTTTAAGTAGATTTATATCGCTTTTAAAAATTATAAAATAAGTGCCAAATGTTACCATATCTTAAAAAGTTGAACAGCTTATAAAATCGTAATAACAATAAAAAATCTTTATAAACAATTATGAATGGTTTTCAACAGGTATATGTTAATAAGTCATATGTATTCATTCAGTCAATGTTGAAATTATTTAAAAATGAGAGTAACCGTAGAAGCTTCTTAACAATTCCTTGATAATGATAAAATATATGTGAAACATATAAAATATTATTAAAACGAATATTTATTAGACGTTTACTATTGACGTTGAATTTACGTAGTTACGACATTAATAAATCGATATTTTTTAAGAAAATCATGTTAAGTGAAAAAAATTCTGTTGAAAATGCAGAAATGATGTGTAGAAAATACGCACATCAACTTTCTTAGAATTGATAATGATTTACAATTATTTAGAACCACAAAATTTATAACTATATTCTGATATATTTTTCATACACTTCACTCTTTTTTAAAATTAAATAAAACCTTCTAACATTTTAAGTTTTCACATAATATATCCTATTTGTTTAAAAGGCTTTAGAAAAATAATATGTATTTACTTTACATATAAAGTATAAAATTCTACAAGAATCGTTTAGTGGATATACTAGATCAATAAAATGATCTTAATTTATTAAATAGTGTTATAAATTATTTTCTTAATATTCTTAATAAATTCATGCACAAACTTATTTAAATCATATGTAATTAAAACATATTTATATAAGGCTGCATCTGGTTTTAATCTTCTTAGTGAATAACTCAGTTTTCATATTTGCTTTGTTATTGTTAATTACTCATGATCAGTCACTAATAAAGAAATGCTTTTTGCTTTACTTCTGTTTTACACAATTTGATATAATTCCATATAATTTTCTAATCAATGATAAACCAATGGACAAATGCAAATATATTATACATTATTGTGATATATTATAATGCATATATGATACATACTATTGATCTAAGACTATTGTGTTCAAAATTAAAATACAAATATATTTCATATTATACACGTTTTAATATTATATGAAGAATGTTATTTATTATTTTTATGTCTACGTATTTGCATTATTTCTTTAATTTAATGCTATGTCTGAATTAGTG